AGAAAACTAGTTAGAATGTATATAATAGTTGTATGATGTATTGTCTAGATTGGTGAAATGGAGAATGAGACTAACTAGGGTGAAAAAAAATGAATATTAATATGTGAATGGTACTTTGTTTAACATCTACCTGTTTCTACAGATACAGTACAGACGCATTTATAAATGGGCTTGATGTTTTTTTGAATTAAATATGTTGTATTGATGGTTCTTTTTAACTTGTTAAAACTTGAAGTTATTATCAAATTTATATATACTATTTTTATCAAATAGTTAATATAAAATAATAAACATGTAAATTGTTTTATTTTTTGTAAAAATTGTTTTCTTGATAAATTTCAATTGTTTATCACTATGTATATCACTTATAGTATTATATTACTTGTAATTTTTTGTTTTATTTATTTTCAGTATGTTATACATATGCATGCATTAAATATTGTGTGGAAGTCAAGTTTTGATGTTTTAGGTGCATTATAGCTATTATTTTTCAAAGATTTGTAGGATTTAACAAGATTTAAATTTTATTTTGTTTATTGATTTTATTTGAAGAAAGCGATCTCATAGATTAAGAGAACTCAATAATAGTGGGATAAAATTTGCTTTTATGATTTAATATGACAATTCAAATAACATTAGATAAAAAACTTGAAAACAAATCATGCTTTTTTACCATGAAAAATCCATAAGTTTTCATTGGAAAGGTGTTCCTAATACCTATGGAAATTCCATGGTTTTTCCATGGATGGAAAATCATTGAATATCCATGGTATTTGGAACACTTTTCCATGAAAAACTTAAAGATTTTTCATGGGAAATTCATGTGTTTTCCATGGAAAACTCATGGTTTTTCCATGGAAAACTCATGGTTTTTCCATGGAAAACTCATGTTTTTTCCATGGAAAACTCATGGTTTTTCCATGGAAAACTCATGGTTTTTCCATGGAAAACTCATGGTTTTTCCATGGAAAACTCATGGTTTTTCCATGGAAAACTCATGGTTTTTCCATGGAAAACTCATGGTTTTTTCATGGAAAACTCATGGTTTTTTCATGGGAACGTGTTCCAAATACCCATGGTTTTTCCATGGGTTTTTTTTCTAAAATTCCCATGGGAAATTTTCGTACGGGTTATTTATAAACCGTTGGGCAGCTGCCCTTACAGCACAATTGTTTTTGGATAATATTTAATTTTGATGAAGATCACATAACTTACATTTGATTTTAATAACGTAAGTCTTTTCTTTTTCTGTGATCATCGCATCGGCAAAGTCCCAAGATTTAAAAGTTTTTAAAGTAAGTCTTTTGTCCTTCAAAATACAATCTATAATCGAACTTTAAACAATTTAGAGAGAATAGAAATATACAACATTTTTATGTACTAGTTTGTTTTGTTTTATAAAGTAAAATACATATTCATTCGTAAAAAGTAAGAACTGGCATTAAACTAAAGCGTGCCTTAGTATTTATTTAACAGAATCTGTAATGTGCGCGTGCATAATGAAACCTCCGTTATATAAATATATTCAACGTAATATTAGTGTCATCAGCGGATGTTTTAGTCTACTCGTGATTTCTTTACCTTATAATTTAACTTGATTTATGAAAAAAACTTATTAAATCGCACACAGAAGAATTTTAACAAACCTTCTTTATTCAAAAATTGCGAGTAACAGGTAATAACTTTTTTCTGTGCCGTCCCCCTCCCCCCGCATAACTTAAAGGTAAAGGTATCTATATACCTTTAACTAATAAGAAAAGCAAATAGTAATAATTAATGAAGAAATTTTTAGAAAAATACAAATAGATTGTTCATTCATTGGCACATTTATTTTTAATGTCTCGAAAAAATGTCTTGATATTTTTGTTATCATGATAACAAAAATACGAAGACATTTTTTGTGATATTAAAAAAAATGTCAATCCTTAATTACAAATTTTTTTGCAAACTTTTTTGCAAAATTTTTATTACTAATTCAGTAAAGAATTCTTAAAAAATCTATATCGCATAAAACATTTATATTCTGTATTAATAAATATGGAATATAGATTTTTTAAAAGTTTTTTACTGAAAACTTTAAAAAAATACTACTTTTTATTAAAAATATTACTTTTTATTAAAAATATTGCAAAAAATATGTAGTTAAGGATTGACAAACAATTTTTCATGTTGCTTAATAATTAGATAAAAAGTTTAGCGTCAAATTAATTGCTATAAAAAGGAAAGATATATCGCGATGAAAAGTTACAACAATTATTTTTTAAGTAAATTCTTTTTTTTAATAAATATCTTTACATAACGTTATTTATAAAGTTAATGTGATTTTTTTAAAAATTAATTACTTCTTTTATGTTACTGCTAATTTAAAAGTTAAAAAATGATAAAGTTAGCTTAACCAAAACAGCTCTACGCGTACGTAAAAATTGCTTAAGGCGTACGTATATCTCTCTATGTGTAACGCTTTAAAACAAGGCCTGTATTTATTGATATAATAAATATTCTTTTAGAAATGAATTTTATAACATAACATATATTATATATGCTAACATATTTTTAATAACTATATAATAATAAACTTTTAATTTATTTGAATACCAATTATTTAGACGAAAAAAATAGTTACCTATATACTAAAGTTTCGTGATCAACTTCTGATGATTTTTTTCTTAGCGACAAAAATACTTGTAATACTTCAATAGACATTATTTTAAAGTCTTTTAATATCATTTTGTTTAAAAAAGTAGCATCCTCAGGATCATCGAACACTGCTTCAGACATTATTAAAGATCCTTTTCCCCAAATAAACAAAAAAAAATTGAAAAAAAGTATTATCAGCAGTCAAAATTTTACGAGTAAATCTTAAAATATACAAAAAGTTAGAAGAATTTGATTGTTTGTTTATTACGGTAAATGTTTGTTTATCTCCCAAAACTTTGCGCATGTCAACTATCCAATTTCGCAAATCGTGTATTGTAACTATACTAAGATTATCGCTTTTCTGATTTTTTATTTTTTTATTTCCATTTAAATACTTTTTTTTATGTACAGTGAAACCTAATGTATTTTTACTAATTTTTACTAAATCCAAAAAGAAAAATAGTATTATGGGTTTTAGACGTTATCAGCAGAACTTGTTTTTAACAAATATCAGTATAACTTTGAAATTTAAGTATCTTATATTTATAGCACTAGTGTTAGTTTCATTTTTAAAATAGAATAAATATAAGTTTGTTTTTTAAAGAGTTTGTTCATTGATCGCGTTATTTTTAATCTTTTTAAAGTTTGGTTCATTTTATTAAAAAAATAATGAAATTCATTTACATAAAATTTAACGCCAAAAGGAAAACCCAAACATAACATAACTTGAGTTTGAAAGAACTTTTTTGTATTGATATCATTTATTAACTACATAAGCGCATTAATCACAGACCAGTATTTGGCAACGGAACTTACATTCAAGAAAAAAAAATGGCATGAAAAATTATGTTTTTCCCTAAATAATTTCCCTAAATAATTTGTTGTGAAAAGTTTGATTAGCATGGAACTTATTATTCAAGAATTTTTTATGAAATGAACACAACTTATCTTGACACTTAGGGATCACATAACGGTCAAAAAATAAATAAAAACTTATCAACCTTTTTTTAACATTTTGGCTTTAACAAAATTTACGCATACTACTCATTAACTTAACTAGTTAATCATTTTTAATTAACATTCAGTCTATAATTGATTCAAAAAAATTAATGGTAAAGAAAAAAAAAATTTAACAAAATAGAAAAAAGTTTATCTGTTTTTTGATCTAATAAAAAAAAATATTCCACAAATATTTTTTTACAACAATTAATTATAGCCTAATGTTTTCTGCATAAACTGTTCTAAAAGACTGTTTAAATAAACTTATTGAAAAAAAGTTTTTTTTTTTATTTTTGGACATTTTTGGAATGTAAATTCTTAACAATTGCTTCAGCTGTTTTTATGACGCTGCCCCGTTGCGTTTATGTATTTTAGAGGTAGTTTTGCTTTACCTAATGCTCAAGTTAAAAAAGATTTATAAAAAAATAAAAATTATATAAAAAAAGGTTCATTTCTACTTTTTAAAAATATTTAAATATTGTAAATAGAGAAACAGGTATGTAAAATTGTGAATACATACGTAAAATTAGTGTAATGCTTCTTAACAAGGCCTGGGGTCTAGCAAGTTGCAAATCTGGTGATGTGGAAACACCAGCAATAGATAGTAAAATTGAAACTTCAGCTGTATATATATATATATATATATATATATATATATATATATATATATATATATATATATATATATATATATATATATATATATATATATATATATATATATATATATATATATATATATATATATATATATATATATACATATATATATACATATATATATATATATATATATATATATATATATATATATATATATATATATATATATATATATATATATATATATATATATATATATATAAACCATTTAAATTGTACGGCCAAGCAATTTGTCAGTTTAAAAAAACCTTTAATTTTAAGTTTTTAAACTTTTCCTGGTCCTAAATATTACTTTTTTTAAAAAAACATGTTTGCATTTAATGGGAATTTGTTTTAGAATTTGTGGTGAGTAGTTTGACTTGACTATTTTAACCAAATCAACCAATTTAATTTCACTTACACATCTCATTTTTGAAGAAACTAATGACTTACAAAGAAGTTTGTTTTGAATACTTGGTTTATCATCTTTTTGTTTTACTTGGGCAGCGTTAAGGTTTAGGCAGCTGATTCAATTCTATTTTCTAATTATAAGGCAGTTGATTCAATTCTATTTTCTAGATTTTTTTAGCAAGACCTTAGCTATCTAAAGTAATTGTATTTTCCTTAATTTTCAGATGCTTTTTAAAAATTTCTGAAATCTTATGACAAAATAAATAAAAAAACAACAAATACAAAAGCTACTATAAACTTTGCAAACTTACTTGAACTTTTAAAGACTCTGCAAGGTTTATATATACTTCTGATAAGTTATTAGAATACAGATTAGTCCAATCCAAATCAATAGTTAACACACCTTTTGCACAAGATATAACTAAATAAAAAATTATTATGTAAAAATTATTATGATGATAAATATAAACTAAAGTACAACAAAATTTTATTTTATTTTTTTCATAAAAAATAATTTAAATACTCAGCATATTTAAGAAGAGATCCTAAGAAATATATAGCATAGAAGTCCTTTTGTTTTCAAAAAAAACTGTTCTATTTTGTGTGCATTTTAATTTATTTTTTTAACCACAAAGCACCTTGTTTTATTTTGTTTACAAATATTTGGTGATTTTATTATCTACGAGTTTTTTTTTTTTTTTTAATTCACCTCCTCAAGGCCGAGAAGGCCACTACAGACGAGGAGGCTACTTATTTGTGGTTATAACCCTCTCTCAACTCTATAACTCTGAAACACGAACCTTGACAAATAAGGCCACTGCACGGAGAAGCGAGTTGAGCGTGGTACTACCAGGGACGTGGTGGGGATCGAACTCAGAACCACTCGTTTATGAAGCGAGCGCTCTACCACTACACCACTACCGCATTTAGTTTGAAGTTTTAGCTTAATATAATGGGGTAGAAGTTTTATATGAGCTGAAACAATTTTGTTTAATAATTTATTTAAACGACTATAAAGAGATTATGGAAGTAAAATGCTTTGATTGAAAACTAATGTAAAAACTTTGATTTTAACACTTTTACTGTTTACGGAAAGATAAAATAAGAGGTTTTTAATCATTTATTGAATATTTTAATGCTGTAAAAAAGGAGTCTTTCTATTTTTGAATAAAAGAGACATTTTTGGAATGTAAATACTTAACAATTGTTTCAGCTGTTTTTATGATGCTTCCCCGTTGCGTTTATGTATTTTAGAGGTAGTTTTGCTTTACCTAATGCTCAAGTTAAAAAAAATATATAAAAAAATAAAAATTATATAAAAAAAGGTTAATTTCTACTTTTTAAAAATATATAACAGGAATACTCAAAAATAAGTTAAATGCGGTAGTGGTGTAGTTATAGAGCGCTCGCTTCATAAACGAGTGGTTCTGAGTTTGATTCCCACCACGCCCCTGGTAGTACCGCGCTCAACTTGTTTCTCAGCGCAGCGGCCTTGTTTGTCAAGGTTCGTGTTTCGGAGTTATAGAGTTGAGAGAGGGTTGTTACCACAAATAAGTAGCCTCCTCGTCTGTAGTGGCCTTCTCGGCCTTGAGGAGGTGAATTAAAATTAAAAAAAAAGTGGAAAACACAAAAAATTGAGGTTTAAAAATGTAAATTACTGCTTTTAAGAAATTCAAATCGTTCAGATCTCTCTTTAAATATGATGAATACACAACTTTTTTTTCAAGTGCAAATAAATTTAAAAAAGATTTTAAAGCAAACAGTCAATACAAATAGTTAAACAATTTTTTTTTTTTTTTCCAAATTTTTGGTCAGCATATTAGTCATTAATGTCCAGCATGTTAGTAATAATGTAAAAAACCAATAAATAAACAAAAATTTCCAATCAAGGACATTATTTCCATATCTATCTAAAAACCAATTTTCTAGAAAACAGACAGCATTATATAGATGTGGTGAGGCTATTGCTCTCAACATTTTTAAAGCCTTTGATAAAGTTTGGCTGGTCTCTATAAACTCTATTCTCACAGTATATCAGGTAACATCTTTATTATTATTGAATTCTTTTTTTTTTATTGAACCCTTTCTTATCAATCTTAGTATAATAGTTTTCCTTTTTTGAGAGCATTCTTTATTTTTTGAATTTTCAGGGATTCCTCAAGGTTCCTTCCTTGGCATTAAACTTATTTTAATTTTTATTAGCGATTTCTCAGAACTTCTCACAACTAAGGCGCTATTGTTTGCTTACAATACTACTATTTATTTTTGTCTTATGAAGTATACACTTTCAGATTGCTTAGAAGGGGTATTTGAGCTTGAAAAGATCTCACTTCTGCTACAGCATGGAGGCTTTCAGTGGCTAGTGAACTTTAACTTAGATAAACTCAATTTTTCCAGCTAACTGATATTACAATAATCTAGATCTTCCTATATTTATGAATGGTAATGTACTGCATGAGTCATCTACCCTTTGACTTGTAGGACATATCAAATCCGTTGCAAAACTAGCATCTGCTAAGGTAACATCTCTTTATTGTGCTTGTCACTTTCTTATTACGGATTCTATTCTTTTTCACTATAAATCTCAAATTCACCCTTATATGGAATACTGTTGCTATATCTAAAGTAGATCTTCAAATGATGCCTTTCCTCCTTTCAGACAAGGTAAAAAAATGCATTGTAAAAATAGTTGGACCTGCTCTTACAGCTAACCATTATCTTATTGTAATGTCGCTTCTCTTTCTTTTTTTTCATAAATACTATAAAGAACACTGCTCTATTGAGCAAGAGCATTTTGTGCCATCAACTAAA